CCCCCCCCCCCCCCCCCCCCAGGCCCAAAGGATCTACTGTTGTCGTATCTGCGAAATCGAAACCGCCCAAGACGCGCGTGGGAGATGAAACGGAAGCGGAGTGTGCGTGGAGTCGCCACGCCGTGAGAGGCAAGGTGGAGAGACCAGGCTGCATTTCTCCCTCATACTTACTTACCCTCCTGCCTACCTACCACCTACATATCTGTCGCACTGGCCAAGCGCCTGTCCGGGACTCTCAAAACTGAAAATAGATTATCGAAGCATATCAGACATGTGTTCTCAATCCGAAATCTGCAAAAACGGTAGACACCAAAAGGTTTGAACCGTGGTCGACTAATCAGTCACAAGCTTGTACACTACTCAGTCTTGGTTTTATGTTCGTTGTACAAGGTCTTGCAAGCTCTGCTTTCACTGGGTTGGCAGATCAAGCAAGTTGAATAGTTTGTCTCAGCAAACGGTTTACTTTGTTTACTTCCGTACATAATCCAGCATTTAAAAATTGTAGGTGCTGCTACTTTACTAAACAACATTTTAGATGTTGAAAGTCGTCACATCGCTCAACGTATTGCACTTCAGAAAAGCAAGGGGTTTGTTAAGCATATTGCTTTCGCGTCCAAGCTCGGGCAACACGTAAACTGATTCCACTTGATGAGTATTGCTTGGCTTGTGTACTATGTTATTATGGTTTGCGAAAGTATACCAGTTTACATAGTTTCACAAAATTCAAAACGCGAGCTCTTTCTGTCGCGCGAAAGATGCACTGTACTTCAATCGAGATAAGTGGCGTTTTTGATGCCGCGATATTATTCAAAGGTTTTTGGAACTAACTTAGGTAACTTATTTGAGGTGAGGACATGCTGCTGCATTCGTATTCAAACTCGGACGACAATGTATACAGTACATACATCCACTTGCCCGGGCGCTGCGAGAGGTCCCACTTCCGAGACACCTGGACCATATCTTCATCCTTGCCCCTGCAGTGGGTGGGGGTCCGGCCCCATACAAAATTGGATCGGCATCGACATCGTTTTCCAGCGTGTGACATCCAAAAAAGAAAAATGGGCGCATACGCGCTCTACCTGGGCTACGTGGGGAGGATCAAAATTGCCGGTGATGCAGATGATGCGGGCCTCTCACGAGCTACGGAGCCCAAAATCGAAATCAAGAGATTCAAGAGACTTCAAGGGCCAAACGAAGTCTGAGAACTCAACAGGCTCACCCACCAAAAATGCAAGCGCATGCTGTGATCGTCTGCCGTCGCCTGAAACTGCGGCGGCATGAGCCAGGTACCAACCTGACGGCTCGGCCCTTCGAAGCGCTTGCCGTGCGGCCTCTTTGACCGCCGGTGTCGAGCACCCGGCGGAGGGACACAGGTGGAAAGGTGTTGACCTAGGCACATGGCACAGCAGGCTCCCGCAGGTGTTCGACACAATGCTCCACAAGAGGTGAAAACTGCAGAGGGCACTATTCAATCTGATGAGGGCTTTGCTCGACGATGGCAGGAGCCTGGCAAGTGTGTCGTTGCAACGTGTAGCCTTCGTATGGGTGCATCATGCTCCGGCTGATCATCCTGCAGCATGTTGGTGCAGCAGCTTACGTTGCTGCTTGTGATCCAGAACTTTGAAAATGTGCACAAATTCAACTCCATCCCTCAAGCTTCAGCAATGAGCTCGTCTCGCAGCTCAACAACAAATCAAGTGACGATATTTCTCCCAAAACTTGCGTGCTAAGCTACATGAGAAGGAAAGCTGTTGAAGCGCTTCGTGCCGGGGTTCTGCCCCTTCTGATGTCATGGGCCGAAAGACGCTCTATGCCAGATGCAACCAAATCCCAAACCCTGTTGCTCTTTCCGCGATCTCATGCGCCTTGCCATCGGTCTCGCCGCGCTTCTGGCGGATTGACTCCATGGCCTGGAAAGCAGCCAACTCACAATGAGGTTGGAATGCGGAGCCATGGAAATCAGCGCGTTAGTTCTAGACTCAAAACTCGTCATATTCATTCTGTTTCGGGTGGTGGCCTTCTGGAAGTCACCAGTGTCCAACGTTTTGAGCAAGGCCGATTTTGCCTCCAGTCATGACGAGCTACCCCTCCAAAGATTCCCAGCCTACTGAGCGAACTTCGACCATCCCGCTCGGTTCAATTTCGAATTGGGGTGTCTAAGCTGGGCCGCGCATCGGAGGTCCTCGCACACTGTCGCCTGACTACTTCCCTGGCTGCTTAGTCTGAGCTGTTCCCATTGCTGGGGGGGATTTCCTCCCGAGACTTGTGATCTATATCCCTCCTGCCAAGGCCCAACCTTCTCACGGATCTCTTCCAGGCTCGTTCGGTCCTGCAACAACGGAACTTGCGAAGGGCCTGAGCCCGCCATGTTCTGCAGAAACAGCTGCGATAGGACATCAGAAGATCCTCGGAGACCTGGCAGGGAAGGCTCAAACGTCGAGTTTTTCTTGGACTGCAGCCGTGCGCCACTTTCACTGGACACTGCAAATGCAGGACGTGCCTCAGCATCGCTGAGTCCGAACCCCGTCGATATTCTCTTAGTCTTTGTGCCATAGAGATTTGGAAACATGCCCCGTTGGCCGCTGTCTTACGCTGCAAAGCCGCAGCAAGGCGGCCGTCGCGGGCAGCTGTCAAGAGGCGGTCTCGAGCCTGGGCATTCGAGGGGATTCTCCAAACCCAAGCCGTCCTCCGTTCTTCCGACTTGAAATCAGGTCGCCTCAGCTCGGAGGGTCTCCGCGCGAGCTTGCTGCAGTGCCTCCCGGAGACTGCCATCTTGGGCGGCACGGATCATCGTGGAGCGGGCCTGACAACTCTGGCTCTATCTCCACGTTGCGCTGCGAAGGTCCCCAACCTCCAAGCGAAGAGCTTCCACGTCAACCTGCCAGGAGCTAAGCCCCGAGAAAGCTTGTCCTTGAAGCACGGATGAGACATGCTGAGACAAGATGTCACTCCCACGCGGGATGGCCCCAAGGAAGGCCCAGGAAAGGGCAGAGGCAGAGACGCCGACACGTAGACACAAGGCAAGCAAGCATGCAGAAGACAAAAAGACAGTGGAACAGAGAGAAAAATGCTTCCAGGTACTGATCAAGGAAAGACTATGCGAGAGTCCCCGCCTCAGGCTTGCGACTTGAAATAGCCTCGGCAAGCCTTCCATTCTGTGCGGCTGCCACCAGAGCCTGGGCAGCCTGAAGGCATTGCAAAGTATGAAGTGACGAGCACTGCCCAGATCCGCCCACACCTCACGGCGCAGTTTCTCAAGATCCTCGCCCTTCTCGCCCTTCTTGGCCTTGCTGCCGAAGCACGGGGGCAAGGATGTACTATGCAACGTTTGCCAATGTGCCTCCTTGGGGACCTTGCATGCCTGCTCCAACTGTGTTGAGCCGTCGGCGCTGCACACGCTAACTAACATCTTGGGCCTCCCGAACAGATCGGAATGCAGCGGCCAGGCGGCCGTCACCGGCGGCTCGGAGCAGCGTATCACGCGCCTGACAAAGCACGGGCACTGCCGAGGCACACTGGAAAGTGGTCGGTTCGCTCGCCTCCTGGCGAAGGAGCTCCACATCTGGCTTTGAGGGCTCCGACTCCTTCGAACAGACAAGACATTATGGGAGTTGACAAATGTCTAGCCTCAGTTGATAATTACAGTCTTGGCGGTCCTCACGTGCTTCTTCAAGGGCAGATGCTAAGCTTCCGTCCCGTGCAGCACGGAGCAGGGTGTCACGTGCCTGCTGCGACTGGAAGCAGAACAAAGCGTCGACTTGATTCCGCTGCAAACCACCAGTAAATGTTTGTGGCCGAAGGAGCAAGCTAATGAGTCTGGCGACTCTGCTTTGAACTGCTCTGCCACGGCCTAGAGGCCTAGAGCCCTCCTAGGTCCTAGCTGTCGCTTGTCTGAGGAACAGCGGCTAAAGGGCGCCTCGACTCGGAGAGCCTCGAGGTCCAATGGAGATGGTGTGGCCTGACGACAGACGACATGCAGGCACGTTCCATAGCTGCAATGCGGCAGACCGGAGTTTAGGCGTAAGATCGGAGGCAAGGTGATTTCAGAAGAAACAAACCTCTGGCGTAAAAGCTTGTCTCACCTGAAAACGCGGAGGAGGGAGAGAGGAGGCTAGAAACAAACACACTGAAACTCGGAGAATCTGTTTCACCGTCGAAGAACAAACTCAGTCTCGGGTTCGACCGCGAAAACCGAACTTTCGACAGCTAAAATCGGCGAAAAGCAAGCGCTGTCTCAGAGATTTTGTTTCGACGGCCAAAAACACAGACTCTTGCGGGGAGCTTGTTTTTGCGCAAATTCTCAGGGCAATCTCCCATAAAGTTTTGCTGCTCCTAGACACAACTAACTTTGACAGCTGGAGTTTGTTTCTTGACATCGAAACCAATTCTCCTAGCCGGAAGTTGTTTGTTTTTGGCAGTTCCTGGGAGGAACAAAATGGAAAGGGTTTGTTAGGCTGTTAACTAGGCGTCACAAACTCGGAGGACGGGGGTGAGAATGGGAGCTGCGAAAAACCTCCAGGCTAAGCGAGCCTTTTAAACGCGAACAACCGAACACACCCGAAAAAAAACACACAACAATAAAAACAAGAAAACACGAAACCCGATACTAGACCGGCAGAACCCAAAGCACGACCTCCGAATCGTGGCACTGCGGTGACCTTCCTCACGAATGTTTACTACATGCATCGCTCAGTCGAGTATGTGGCACCGGCATCTTCAATGTGATTTTCACTACATTGCCGTTGTCTTTGGTGACATCCTGATCCCGACCAGTAAGTTCAGGGGATCGTCACTGACGTAGCAAAATGTCATATCGTTTCTAACGGGGAATCCAAGGCTCAAGCTTATATTTCACAAAGTTGCGGCGGATAAGTGCCGGAAATCACGTAGGAACCCTAAGTACCCAACACCCGAGGGCTTGAGCTAAGCTACCTCTCAAGCTGTTTGTACAGTTTACCACTGCGCGTTACACTCCGCAGCCCTCTTGTGGCTTCGAGAAAAGGTTGGTTCATCTGCAGTTGAGCCCCTGTAGGTGCCCCGTAGGTAGAAGCAGCGCTTTTAGCTTTCGCATGGTAGCGGAGCTCTGCTGTGTGGACCAGCAACTCCGTAGCAGGAAGCCCCGCAGGTCTCCGTAGACTTAGACCTGGGTGCCGCCCTAAAAGGTGTGATCTGAGAGGCCAACGGGGGCCCTGAAACCCGGGATCGAGAAACCGGGACACAGAGCTACTCCCGTTTGGGGCGGCTCTCCACCTCTAAGGTTTTATCCGCCGAGTGCGGGTGGAACCGCCTTCCTTGTCGCCACCACGTCGAACGACGATTGGTGGCAGCAAGAAGGTTGGAATCGAGACTGCGACTGGTCTCGGCGGAGCTGGTGGACAGACCACCAAGAAGAGGAGGAGGCCGAGCACCACCAACACAGCTGGTGGCAGCAACAAGTGTGGCAAGAAGAGGTCACGCAGGACAACAGCGACCCGAGGGCCGATTGGACCGGAGTCGCTGATTGGAACCAACGCCACCAAGGGGAAACTGCTTCCAGCAGTAGCGGGTGGCACCGCCGGCCAAGAAGCCGCAGTCCACCCCGAGAAGCGTGCACTGCTACCGGCGCGGGGCGCGCGAGAAAGCCGGGAAGCCTTGGTGGCAGCGACCACCCCCAGAGTATATCTGGGACGAAAAGAAAAACAAGCGGAAGAAAAAGAATACCCGCGGCACCAGATCCTGGCGGAAAAAACAAGAAAGGATCGAACGGGGACAAAAGCGTCGCCTAGAGCATCCTCACGGAGCAGGCGACGAGCGGGCAGCCCCGCCGGCAGCTCCAGGCCCCGCACAGGACGACGAACCGCCCGACGACGACGCCAGCGAGTCGAGTTTAGACACCGCACCCGTCGTTCTCCAAGAGGCGACGCAGCCGGCAGGAGCTCCAGAGGCCCCGGCTGACGTCGCAACAGAAGCGGGCAACACCGGCAAAGAAGGAAATGGCAAGGACCCTCACAAGGACAAGGAGAAAGAAAAGGAGAGGGAGGACGGGCCACACCGTGCAAGAGTGTTAGTACAACTCCAAAGGAAAAGGAAAAGGCCAGCAGAAAGGGGGCGATACTGCTTTGCAGCTTTCTGCAGGGCCTTCCGCGTCTGTCGCGGCGAGCACCGCCACCACGGCAAAGCCGGGTGTGCAGCACATCTCCGAAGAAAAGGTCCGGGTGCTCGCTGTGAGCGAAGAGCGCCGGGGGTACCTACTCGTGGACACGGGGGCCACTGTTTCGGTGTGCCGCCTTGAAACCTTCAAGTGCAAAGGTCCGGCAGACCCTTTACAGTGTGGACGACACGCCCCTGGCTACCCGAGGCACGGTGGAACCTAGGCGGGAACCACCGCCAGGAGGCGCGCACTACCTTCCAGGTGGTGGAGGGGATCACGGACGACATCCTCTCAGTGAACCGCGCTGTGGATGCTGGTGCCCGGGTGGTGTTCGACGCCGCCGGCTCGTACATAGAGTGGGAAAACGGCTCCAGAGCGGACTTCATCCGCAACGGTCGGCAGTTCCTCATGCCGTACACGTGCTGCCGCAAGCACAAGAAGAGGGCCACGATCGCAGCCCTGCGCGACGAAGAAGACTACGCCGACGATCCGGAAGCCCGTGCGTGGAGGAGTTTGCCAGAGCGGAGGTGAGAGAGCAGAGCTAACGGCGGACCCTGGAGGAAGCCTGGAGAGCGGGGATCCACCACCGGACCCCGAGCCGAACGTGGAATACCTTAGCACCATCTGTCGGTTTGGGGAGACCATCATGGCGAAGCTCCCCAAGCCAGGGACCAAAGCCCAGAAGCGATGGATACGAGGGATCTGGGTCGGCAGACTAGACCGCGACAACACGAACATCGTGCTGAAAAAGGCTGGTGCCCTGAGTGTGCGCTCTGTGCGGCGCCTGCCGCCAGAACCCATAGCCAACCGCACGCTGATGGGTACTTGAACGCTGCGGCAGGGAAGGACGCTAAGGCAGCCTCAGGCCATCACGGCGACGCCGGTGGTCGCAGAGACGGAGGGAGCGGATGAGCATGAAGGGCCGCTCCAGCTGCCCTGACGGGTGGACCTTGAGGCGCACGACGTGGAAGCGGTGGCTGCCGTGGAAAGCCTGACCCACTGGAAGACTCCGAGATGTTCCCCGAGGCATCGGCGACGTGGCCTCAGAGAACCTTCATCACAGGTTGTGGGAAATCCGTCGCGGCCTCGATATCCGTTGGTGCGGGCGGCTCTGCCGGGCCCTCCTCAGCGACCTCTCCGGCCCGACCTCGGCCACCATTCCCCACAGGCTTGGGTGAAGGTGGGCTAGGCCAAGCGGAGGAAGCTCAACCACCAAAGCAGCCAAGGGGTAGGAGCAGCAAGGCCCAACACGTGGAGAAGGTAACAGACGAGGCCCAGGAAATCTGGAGCCGGATTGAGGAATGGGCGCAGGCTAGCGTGCTGGATTCCGCGCCCGACCCAGCAAAGACCGGAGAGGCGAGGGAGGCTCAACTCAGGAAGCTTTGGTCGCTCTAAGCCTTCACCTCCGTCCTCAAATGGAGTGTCCCTCGCGCGGCGCAGACCTTCCACTATCTGCAAGTGGGTAGACCAGGTCAAGGAAGAGGTTCACAAGAGCCGCGGCGAGCCTTCAGAGTCTTCGTTCCCACTCCGAACTCGAGATCACGGCCCTCCAAAAAGGATGCGCCACGCAGACCTTTGACATCGTCGCGGCCTTCCTCATCGGAAATGACAGAGGGGCCCAGACAGAGGACTGGGTCTACATGAGACCACCACCGGAGTGGAGTGGCCACCACTGCAGTTTTGCAGCAACGAACCTTTACTTGGCGATACGGGGCTCCATTGGCATATTGGCAATGGAGCCCCGTATCGCCAGAGGTGCGGGAACAGCCGCCGGCGGAACAGCCGAAGCTCATGGCACAGTATGCAGATTTTCTCCTGCGGCTGGATGGCAACCTCTACGGACGCCGGACAGCAGGGTCGGTTTACAGGGATGAGCTGGAAGAGGTAAGGTGCACCAAGCTTAAGGAGAGCGGTCGCGCCGAGGTGTACCGATGCCTCGAGACAGGCATCGTGGTGGCACATCATATGGACGACGGCCGGTGCGCGGGTGACGCCGCCCTGGATCGATTACTAGACGAAGACCTTTGCGCCCACTGTGAAATCACCACGGAACCCCTTGAAGCCGAAGGCGTTTCAGTCGAGGTGCCTGGCAAGACTGCATTCCGACCCCAGGCACGCGGAGAACATCATCAAGGCCCTTGGCCTCAAGCCGAACGTGAGAAAGGTCACCCTGTGTTGCCGCGTTCCCACCGACGGTAGTATGCTCGGTCACGTTCACGTTTGCGGTCGGGTGTGGCTTCCCCTTCCCTCTGCCCTTTGTTGGCAGTGCCACGATTCGGAGGTCGTCCTTTGGGTTCTGCCGGTCTAACGCCTGCTCGCTCCTCATCAGTCGCTGGACGGTCTCGAACACCAAGTTGTCCTGAGTTCAAGTCATCGCCAGGTTGAATGTGATTAAGGGCTCCTGGATGTCGACGTGGTTGACGATCGAAGTGCGAGTTGGTTAACTTTGTTGTGTACCTTGACGGTATCAGGATGTCGTAGTTGACGAGTAGCTCGATGGTCGTGGTTGTTGTTCACAACAATGATCATCATCACCACCACTGGATCAATGTGTAAGTAAGTAGTCGTAAGGTTCAGTGGGCGGTGGCCTGAGCATTGAGAACATAGACTTGCCCATGACCTTCGCGACGAGAGTCTGCAAGATGTCATGGCAACTCGCGTGCAGCTCTTGAACGGATTGGTGCCGAACTTCGAGATAGGTACTGGGGTTGAAAACCTCCCTTGGCACGCCCATTTGATGCTCACCTCGCATGAGCTTGGAGAGCAGTTGATTGGTTCCGAATTTCCGGAACAAGCATGTCCCTGCAGGATGTGAGGGATCATTCAAGTTTTGAGAGTATGCCATGACCTCCTCGTCGGTGACGTCCCTCAAAACTTTCGTGTCTGGGTCGATGCCACAAAGAGTTGGCCAATCTCCAAGAACATCATATCGAAGGTTGGTCCATCTCATCTCATTGTCCTGACCCACGACTTGTGCACGCTGCATACCGTGCACCACGACTTAGGCCATGTAAGCGAAGGAAACAAACTTTGCCTCGATGCAGTATGCTGAGGGAGCATTCGGATGGTAAGGGACCTGCGTAGAAATTCTTGCCAGAGCACGAGCTGGATCGGTGATGTGCTGGTTCTCCTGCAATATCACCGGGCGTCGCTCTGCAATCTCTTCTGGGTCCTCATGGTCGTAGTAGTCTTCTTGTTGCTCTTCGTCAGGTTCGGCTTCATCATCCATGTCGGCCATGTCGACCTCCATTTCTGGTTCAGCCATAGCCAAGACCTCATCGGCTTCGTCCTCTTGAACATTTGCATAGGTGGATGTGGCAGCGGTAGCCTCTTCCATCGCATGAGCAATCTCTTCACGCGGGACCTCCAAAGGAGAGTCCCGTTGCGGAGCTGTTCATTGGAACTTGCCGCATGACCTGAACACTGCGAAACATCTTGTGCATCGAGTGAGATAAGCAGGTGCCATTTCCAGCCACGCAGGACACAACCTTGTCCTGATCGACGAGCCCCTGGCATCTCGAGCTTCTCCTCCAGGTCGCATGTTCTTGATGGCGAGCTCGATGACTTCCCTGACGAGTGACTGCCTGCGGGCATCCTCACGATGGTAATCGTCATGTTGTGCAAGTAGCTTCAGGTAGTTCTCTCTCGCGGCGTCATGCCCGTTGGGTATTTCACATAGGATACTCATGAGCTTGCGAGGACAACACTCATCACGGAACTGTATCGTGATAGGAGATCGTTCATATTGCATTGGACCTCGGAAGCACAGGAAATGCAGCACCATCCCGACGTGGAGAACTCTGCCGAGGCCTGCCAATGAGTTTCCTGTAACACCATGATGTCACAGCAGTCAGATGCCTCAGTGCTCAACCACGACCTAATCTGTGCCCATTGCTGTTGACCTAGGTGGCCCGTATTCCATGAAAGCAACCTGATGTCCCTGTTGGCAAGTCCCGCTCTGGGTCTGGGTGCAAAACGCGCACCCCGACCTGAGGGCTGCGGAGGGCAGTTGCCCATTCTGCGCACCTGCGTAGGGGTGAGTTTCTGACCTCGGTGGGCCACTGGCTGCTGTGTTCGAACAGCATGCATGTTTGAAAGATCGCTTGCGTCATTGAGAATAATTCTGTGAGTGCACTGGCAGTGCTGCCATCCACTATTTCGTCACAGAGCGAGCGCGGAAGGTGGAAACCCTATCGCCTGCCCAGTAAGCAATGCCTTTGACAGTGACTGGGTCCAGGAATTGGGACCTGGCGTCCCAGACGGATCAACAAACGAGGAGGCACATGGCTCAAACGGGCACAACTTCTTACGTAACCCTGGGGGCCTGACTGGGGCCTCTAGAGAAGAAAAATTGCGCCCACAGCCTGTTCGAAAGCCTCTAACTGAGCGGTCGTCAGGTCCGTGGCGGCAACAACAACAACAACAACTACTACTACTACTACTACTACTACTACTACGACGACGACGACGACGACGACGACGACTCCTACTACTACTGCTGCTGCTGCTGCTGCTGCTTCTGCTGCTGCTGCTGCTGCTGCTGCTGCTGCCTCTCCTCCTCCTCCTCCTCCTCCTCCTACTACTACTACTACTACTACTACTCACAGCAACACGCCGTGCATGGCCTTTATACCTCCGGGGGTTCTCTCATCCTTCAGCTTAAGCGCTATCAGAATGCAGAGGGTCACCCCACAAAGCTTTCTGTCCCACTCCGGTGCAGGCCGGGCGACCGCATTGGCTTCCCGGTTGTTCTTGACGCTGAGGGCCTGCGCACCTGCACAGTCTGTTATAGAGTCATCTGCTGTGTGTTTCATACCGGCTGCAGCCTAGACACGGGACACTATCAAGCTGCCATTGGGGTTCCGGGGCTGGACGGTGCTGCAGGCTCGCCATCTTGTACACCAACATGGGTGTATCGAATTTGTGACGATAATCGCAAGTCTCGGCCTGCCAAACCAAAGGATATTACTCACATCGATTGTAACGCCTATCTAGTGGGGCTGTTACGTGATCCGGGGGACGCGTAGGCCGCAGGGGCATCCGTGCCGGGCCTGCGCGGGCAGGGAATGAGACTGCATGCTGAGTCACGGCGAGCAAGCCGTTATGCTGCCGAAGAGCAGTTACAGCACACAAGCGTTCCGGGGCCAAAGGCTCGCTCCTTCGTTTCTTCAGTCTGTTAATGTCATGCTGCTGCCGCATGCTGCTGCATGTTGACACCATCGCTCCCTTTTTCCGCCCTCTCGCAGCAGTGTTCTCTCATACGGGAGAGCCTTGTGCCTTCCGCCTGCTGCGTGGCTCTGCACTCAGCTTTTCATGCTGCCGCGCTATCTGCTACTGCTGTCAGCTTCACATTGCCACTTGCCGCCTGCCGCACAGAGTGCTCAAGACCGCAGCCGTGCCACTGGGCACAGCAATGATCGCTGAAGCTCTCGACGACCTCTGTCGAGAACTGCTGCTGCCACATCACTGCTACTATGACTCGTTGGAGGAGCTGCTGCTCTACAACACATTACAGTGTTTGGCCGCAAATGCAGGCGTCCGGGTTCCACCTAGTCTCTCCATGGCTTCTGTGAATGAGCTGGTGCACATGGCGGGGCGGGTGCTACCGGTCGCGCACATGCAGCAGTTCAATGAGTATGCACGAGAGCTGGCCAAACGTATGCCGTCGACCGCGCCCATTAACTTCCCGCCGATGATTGGCCTTGCGCATGATGATATGCCGGAAGCGGAACATGCTGCAGCCCTTTACTTGCAGCATGGCACAGGCTCGATCTGGACTGCGGTGAGACACGTCATTACATTGCTGCCTTTCAAGGCTGTGAAGCGTCAGCACCAGGACCAACCGCAGTCACAGTTCTCGGCAGGTGCTTATGGTCACCGGAGTTTTTGCGGACTCTGCCAGAACACCAATCTGTTTGGCTCAGCCTTGAGGCTCATTAACATGTTTATTTGCAGCCTGCGCCCAGAGCTCCACTGGACCACCATAGTCATCACGGTGGACAATGTGGCAGGTTTGCATACAGACAAGCAGAATGCGCCTTTCTGTAGCCTGGTCGTTGGGCTCTCGCATCACAGCCGAGGGCGACTTTGGATCAGCAAGCGTCCTGGTTTCTCCTGCCTGGGCCCTGGACGGCATCAGCCCATGGAAGGCTACTGGCTGGACGTTGCGGCGCGAGCTTTTCTGCTGCCTACCTACAGCCACCCGCATCTCACCGAGCCTGCAGAGGAAGGCAATAGATTCGTTCTGATTGCCTACGTGATCGGCCAGTATGAGAGTCTGCGCCGCCAGCACGTGGAGGAACTGCTGAGCTATGGTTTTTCACTTCCGGGCCGCATCGCGAATACTGCAGCTGAAGCCGTCGAGATAGTGGACTAGTCTGCTAGGGCCAAGGGTTTCTGAGGCTGCTGGGTCTCCTCTCCTTTCCTTCCCTTTCGGGTCTTTGGGTTTAGCGCTTCCCCAGGGTTTGGCCTGCCACTACACTTCCTTGAAAAGTACATCGTTGCCCCCCCACAGCATACAACGCGCTAGCGCTACTTCTAGCCTGGCTCTACTGGGGTGCAGCAACTTTCTGGGTCAGGGCTGCATGGGCATACGTGCCGGGCCCTTCACAGTCCAACATGGACTGATCTGTGTAGCAAAGGACGCCAAGCCGGCGTCGTCGAAAAGCGGTATCGCATGCTTGCACCAGAGTGCTGCAATTGTCGCGCGTTTGTCTTGCGTGTGCTGCGGAGTTCCGCCCAGGTCCAGTGGTGCATGGATGCTGCTCCAGCGCTGAATAGCTCTGCCACAAGTCAGTCAATAGCTGGTTTTATTGCGGCTCTGTTTTTAGCGTGGGTCTGAGAACTTCTCTGCGTGCACTGTCCGCTTGGCCATTCGTGGCGGGACAGATGCATCGGCCGCTGCGGGTATGTCGGACGCCTGGCTGCAGCTTTCAAATTTTGGGTCGTAGGCATAGGCACTGCTGCTCTTTTTGCAATTGCGGATCGGTCGCTACATGGGGAACGATGCCGGCAAGTTCAGCTTTTGCTTGCTGGAGCAGCGCCAGGCACCTTTGCACCGGGGCGATGCCAGTCAGAGCAGTGTGGCCGCGAGGCCAACTGGGGATACCGTTCCTGCTGCTCCGTCTGCTCGCGAACCAATGGAAGGCG